TGTCCTTCACTATCAACTGTTCTTCTTCCATTCAATTTGCTTCAAAGGCTACAACATTTGGAGAGATGCTTTCAATAACCAAATGTGTCTTCGAACATTAGTTCTTGACGGAATTAAGTTTGGGGACACTAAATTTCTTGGACAGTTAAAGACGCTTGAAGTCCTTAGCCTCAGGCATGCCTTCTTTTCTGAGGCACCAAATGCTATAAGGGAGTTAACTAATCTAAGGTTGTTGGACATGACTGAAAGCCATCATGAATTTCCGATTCCGGCCACAATGGTATTGCCTTTATTCCATTTGGAGGAGTTGTACTTGTTTGGCATCACATCTTCGAGTATCGGATACCTTGCAGTGGAAGTAGTTGCTGCACTAAGATCTTTGCCTCGCCTAAAAATGCTAACCATTTCCATACCTGACATTGCGGATATACCCAAGGACTTTGTTTTTCCTGAGCTGGAAAGTTTTATTATTTTTATTGGAAAATCGAGGTGGGGGGTGAGTGTTGAAGGTTACTCCCGAAATTATTTGAATCTTGCAAATTTGGTTGGAACCATGATTAATTGGAGTAAATGGCTAAAGATGGTGTTGAAGAGAGCTACACGTCTGAAGATTGAATATTGTTCTGAATTGAAAATAAGTTGTTTGATATATATAAAATCAAATTTAAAATCTTTTATTTCAAATTGTATATTTTAATTTTTATATTGTGATGGTGATGGTGGCAACGGCGGAACATTTATGGATTTGTCCAACAAAAAATGCTCTCTTTCATAATTTGCTTGTGAGAAAGAAAAAAGATTGAAGGTATATTTAGCTTTTGTTGTGAACCTTTTAAAAAAAAAAGGTTGTTAACATTAAACATAAAAAATAAAAATAAAATAAAATAAAAATGGGGATTAAAGTGGGTTGGGGAAAATTCAAACCCATTAGGAAATGGGGAGGGTAGTACCCATGGGGAATGGGGAATGGGGAATGGGGAAAATTTATTATAGGGGAATGGGGATGGGGAATTAATACCCACCCCATTAACCCCCATTGCCATCCCTACTTCCATTCAATTTGCTTCAAAGGCTACAACATTTGGAGAAGCTTGGGGTATCAGAATGTGAGAAATTGGAACAAGTATTTGATTTTGGTTCTGAAGGAGAAGGCATGAAGCTGCTTTCTAGTTTGAGAGATTTAACACTAGGCTACTTGCCTAGATTGAAGCATATATTGAACTGCTCCAGTCGTCAACATGTGCAACTCTGCAACCTAACATATTTGTATGTCAATGAATGTGGTAAACTGAAATATGTCTTCCAACCTTCCATAGCTCAAGCTCTTCATCAACTTGAAAAGCTTATTGTATTTGAGTGTGAAGAAATGGAGGAAATTGTTGCTGCGAAGCAAAACGAAGGGCACGAAGAGAGAGTGGACTACAAGATGGTGTTCAAAAGTCTCAAACAACTCTACCTTGGGCGTCTTCCAAACCTAAGTGGTTTCTGCACAGGAGGAGACGACTTTCCTTTTGAATGGCCATCCTTGGAACGACTTGAAGTGCTAGACTGCCCCAAAATGAAGACTTTCGCTGCCACTACTTCCGGCAGCACACCAAAACTGAAGGAAGTTCAATTGAAAGTGTTTGAATCCGGGATACCGCTACAGGGGATGGACTTGAATCAGTTTGTGCAAACCCATATATATCATTTCAAAGCCACCTAAGGTACTTCTCTATTTTACCACATTTAGAGGCAATGTTTTTTCTAAATAAATTAAATTAAATTAAATTGGGTCCTTGACTAATAAACTAGTAAATCAATGGACTATATATATTTATTGTACATAATTACAGATCTCTAATAATTTTAAATTAAATTAGAGCAATACTACACACACAAAATTTGTACACTTAAAAATGCTTAAAAATTTTAATGTACGATTGAGATTCATTCAAATTGTGAATTTCACTATATTAGAGTTGAATCTTAAGCACATATTACTTTTTTAAGTATATTTTTGTGTATGAATTTTGTGTATAGGGAGAGGCCCTTTATTACACTCAAATGACATTTTTATTTATTTATTTTTATTTTTGTATAGATTACACTTTTTAATGTAAAATTTATTGTTTTATTTTATTATTTAGTTAAAATTTAATATATTATCCTCTTTTGTGCATAGAGTTTTATTTTTATTTTTATTTTTAAGTCTTAAGTTAAGGTGATGGATAACAAAATTTTACTTTTTATTAACCTTTTACAATGAATATTCATTTATGCCTTTATTATCGAAGGCCTTTGACTATCTAAAAAAAAAAAAAAAATCGCCTTTGGACATGAGATAATAAATTATTTAATATTCTAACAACCATTTATATGGTAGTACTCCCTATAATGCTTAGAATTTATATCCACTTGAATAGTTCTATTTTTATTTGGGAGATTTTTATCAAATTTTAGTATAAGGACCTTTGGACAATGAATGTTTTTTAGGCCTCTGGATAAATATGGAAGAGATCTAGTGGATTGAGATAATGCCTTCTTAAATAAAGAAGAAAAAAGAAAATGTTAACACTCAATTTCTTTTTTTCTTTTGTTTTTATGCATTTTGATAAATTTTATATTAAATTTTGATTAGAAATTTTTCTTATTCTTTTTTGTTTTGGTTTCAAGTTGCCGAATTCCAATAATGAGACCTTATGCCATTAAGTCAAATGTGTGTAGTGTATTTGATAAAATTAAAAACTAAAAATTGAAAATTAAATATTAAAAATTGAATATTGAATATTAAATTTTTTAAATTAAAAAATTGTTTGATAAAAATTTAAGTGCTAATTAAAAATAAGTTGTTTGATATATATAAAATCAAATTTAAAATCTTTTATTTCAAATTGTATATTTTAATTTTTATATTGTGATGGTGATGGTGGCAACGGCGGAACATTTATGGATTTGTCCAACAAAAAATGCTCTCTTTCATAATTTGCTTGTGCGGAACATTTATTTCTCGCGTGTGGATTGACCTAAACAACTTTTACATAGTAAAATTCAAACAAGCATAGCTTCCTCTTTTGGAGTTAGAATTTGGTCAATTTTGCTTTTAAGTTGAAGCCCTGAAAGTAAGCTTTCTAATGGTTCTAGACTCATATCAAGATTCAAAGTGTGGAGATAGAAAAGCGTAAAAGAGTGAAAACTACTAAAAAATAAATATTTGAATTTCGGGTTTTTGAACCAATCTTGTCCAACCATCATGTTAACTTATAAATCAAGACTCTAAACATCAAGAAAGAGGTCCCTATTATAATAACAAAAAGGTCAAATGCAAACCCATCAATTCTAAAAGTTCGAAAATAATACAAGTATAAGGTAACGGGTACAAATTAATATAAACAAGTCGGGTTTAAGATCCGAGGCACTATAGGTGGGCAAAGGAGTTGAGGGTAGAGAGGTGTGGAGGGTGGTGATAAAGGTGTTGGGGGTAGGTGGATGGGTGATTAACAACTAGAGAGGGGTAAGGAAGGGTTGGCCAATAGTTGCAAATAGTGGAAGAGAGAAGAAAAAGAGAAAAAAAAAACATTCTAGTAATTACAACCACAAATTCCATGCTTTTGCAATTATGATTCTCTATTAATTTGTAAATAATTGACCAAAATCACTTTGGTTGCTTTGGAAAGTTAGCTAAAAATTGAATTTTTGATTTTTTAACTTTTTTAAAAGAAACATGTTAAAAAGTAGAGAAGTGATGTGATCCAAAAAAGTCAAAAAATAAAAAAATTGACTTTGAACTAACTTGTCAAATAGACCGATTGTCCCTAAAATTTGATTGTCTTTACGAAGATTGAGTGACCATACCATCATAGAGTATACATATATATATATATATATAATATAACATAATGTTTTTTGAATTTATGTATATTTTTGTCCTACATACAAAGTTAATGGTCAAATTTTTTTGGCCCACAATATGTTTCCCGCCTATTTCTACTCTTTGTTCTCATCATTTATCATTCCACTACTATCTCTCTCTCTCTCTCTCTCTCTCTCTCTCCTCTACCTCTCATCACTCTGTCCTCTACCTCTCCTCTCGGCACTATTGCTCTCAGCCAGGAGCACGCTATCGACAAAACCCTTTCTCCCTTTTTATGTCCTCTCCTTCTCCCTCTTCTGCCGCCGCCGGAAGCAACATCTCTACCACCTACATCAACTCTCCACTGCCACGCCGCTTTTACACTGCGATCTCCATCAATAGCAACTCCTTATCTCTTCTCTCTCTCAGTTCTCAAATCTTCGCTTCGATCTTAACCTGCAGCAGTGCCTCTGTCCTTCACCGTCGAGAGTTTGATGAGTTTCTGAAATGGTTTTATGGTTTTGAAATGGGTTTTCATTTTGGGTAAACTACTAATAGGTCCTAATAGTTGGATTTAATTCCCATCAAGTCCTATTGAAAATAAGGCCTCGTTTGGGAACAGGCTATTTTAGTAACCTTTTGACTTTTTACGAAAAGATGTGCAGAAAAGTAAAGAGGTGATGTGACAACTTTTAGTAACTTTTTAGCTTTTTGGCTAAAATAGCCACTCCCCAAACGAGGCCTAAGTCTTGGTAAATTTGTTGTTAAAAATAATGTTTGTGACAATTTATTACATACGTCGTTAAAAATTGACAATTAATGACTTTTTTTGTCATGATTTTTATAAATTGTCGCTAAAACTTACAATTAGTGACTTTATTTATGACAAATTTTTCCCATAGGACCTATTAGATAATAATTCCACTTATTAGGACCTACATGTAAGTACCCCTTTCATTTTTAAATGTGTTTTGATTTGAGAAAGGTTCATTGTGTTGGGTTTGTGTGATTTTTTATTTCTGTTGATTAGGTATGTGTTTGGATTTGTGTTTCTAAGATTTTGGTTTGGGTTTGTGATTTTTAATATATTTTAATGAATGTTCTGGGTTAATGATCATTAATTAAGTTATGACTCCCATTCGAAGCTCAAACTTGAGCAACAATGGAGTTCAAAGAGGAAGAGAGAGATGTAGAGGAAAAAAAAGAGACAAAGCTCTCTACTCTAAAAAGAACAAAAGCCAAAAGACATAGAAGAAGAAGAAATGAAAAAGTAGGCAAAGGGAGTGGGGGGCAACCCACGTGGGTCTGCTTTCCTTTCCTAAGTATTCTCACTCAATCCCACCTCATAAATTAATATACAATATATTGTATATTATCTCAAAACTTTATAATATAAATTTATTCTCATATATTTTAATTGAAAAAAGGTGTTTCTTGTATATTAAATTGATAATTTATTTTTCTATAAGATTGGATTGGGTACGAATTAATCTATTTAAATAATTGTTCATTGCATACCATTTGGAAATGTTTATTAAAAAAATATAAAAAATCAAGCAGCTTTGGTTATTCAGAGACCTAATATCATTAAAAATGTTTATATTTATTGAGAAACGTAACGTTATTCAAAAAAAAAAAAATTTGGTTCTGTTAAAAAATAGTGGTTTGAAATTTTTTTTTTTTCTTTTGATAAATTTGAATTCAAAATTTAAATTAGGTTGTTTTAAAAAAAATAGTGATAAAAAAAGTGGTTTAAGTTTCACTATGGAATTTGAAATATTGGCAAGTGAGAATGAGAGAGAAGAGAGATAATGAGAGTGATGCAATTAAGAGTTATTTTGAAAAGTTAGTTAAAAGTTAATTTTTTAATTTTTTGTAAAAACATATATAAAAAAATAAAAAAATAATATGATCTAAAATAGATTAAAAATTATAAAACAACTTTTAATTATCTTTTCAAAATAGGCCCAAGTTGTTTGATATTTGATATTTGATTATGTTATATAGTTGGTGTATGCATCGGTCAATGAGAAAGAATATTAAATAATCCTTCCTCTCTCTCTCTCTCCTTCCTTTGTCTTCTTCTCTCTCCTCAAGCCTGATCTCTTCTTTTCTTCCTTTTCAAATTTGAAAAGTGTTAGATTAGGAATCTCAAATAATTTATTAAATTTTTTATATAAGTGTGAAATCCATACACATGAATTTGTTTAAGTCTTATATTTATATAAAAAGTTTAATAAAAAATTTAATAAATTATTCGAAGTATATAATATTTTTCATTTCTAAATTCTCTTTTGCCTCCTCTTTCTCTTTTAAAAAAAGAATAATGTGGTGAGAGTAAGTCTCGTTTGTCGAGATGGGTCAAAATTGTCTCACCCATAAAGTTTATGATATGTTAGTAGCAGTTAACCCATGCAATACACATTATAAAATATAAGTATATATTTTGAAAATCATACTTTATAAATTTCATTTGAATTATCTTTGCGTCTATCAATATGTATCTACTTATGAATTTATTATAAAAAGTAGGGTTATTCTACAATACACATTTTTCTTTGGTGTGTGACATATACAAGTTATGATATTTGTGTTAGTCATAACTAAAAAAAACTCAATAAGTTATAATCCAATACTACTTAAGGAATAACAAAAGACCTTTTTGGTCATAACCAAAACAACAATCACAACTAACATTACAATAAGTGATAACCAAGTCAACCAAAATTATTTGAGCTTTTATTTGTGAGTTTTGATTTAATTTTAATTTATTTGAGTTAGGTCGTATTGAAATATGATGTGCAAAGTATAAATAGTTAAATTATATATATATTTTTATAAATATTTTTATAGAGAAAATTAGAGTAAGACTTTCTTTTGATAAATAAAGGACTGGCTCACAACTTCCCATTTGTTTATTTATTTTATCAGCAAGCATGTAGATAGTTATTATCGCCAATAGTACAATATTATTTATTTATTTGAAGTATTGCTTGGTTTGTTATCAGACATGGCTATGGCTTTCTATGATGCTCTGATTTCCATTGGAGGAAAAGTTGTTGAATTATTGGTGGAGCCAGTTGGGCGTCAATTCGATTATGTCTTCTATCGAGTGAAATACATTGAAGATTTGAGAGACCAAGTTAATAAGTTAGAGGCTCAGAGAAACGATGTGCTTGACTCCATCGATGCAGCTAAAAGGAACAGAGGAGAAATTCTAGAAATTGTCAAGAATTGGATTGACGAAGTTAATGGGTTCATTCTTGAGGCTAAAGAGTTTCTAGAAGGTGGGACCAATGTGAACCAGAAATGTTTCAATGGGTGGTTTGCTGATTTGGTCACACGACGCCGGCTAGGTAAGGCAGCAAAAAATAAAGCAGAGGAGGCTAAAAAGCTACAAAAAGATGGCAACTTCCCTAGCGTATCCAACCCTGCAGCTCCCTTGGGGATAGAGTCCAAACCCTCTGAACAGCTCGTGCCTTATGCTTCTAGAGTTTTGGCAATGACGAATGTAATGAAGGCACTAAGTGATGACAATATCAACTTCATTGGAATACATGGTATTGGGGGCGTTGGAAAGACAACTTTGGTAACAGAAATTGCTAAAAAAGCTAAATCTGATAAGCTTTTTGACGATACTGTGATGGCTGTAGTGTCTCAGAACCCAGACATTAAAAAAATTCAAGGTCAAATAGCTAGCTGGTTGGGTTTCACCGAATTAAACAATAAAGAAAATGAAATTGAAAGAGCAACCATGTTGTGTGCAAAACTCAAGGATGTGAAGAAGATCCTTGTTATATTGGATGATGTTTGGGCCAAACTTAATTTGGCAGATGTGGGCATTCCATTTGGCAATGATCACCCGGGTTGCAAAATCGTAATCACAACACGGCGTGAGCAAGTATGCAGAACCATGGGAAATGAATGGGAGAAAACAAAGATTGTCTGGCTTGATGTTTTACCTGAACAAGATTCATGGGACTTATTCGGAAAGAACGTTGGCGACGTTGTTGCCTCTTCCCCGTTGAATGATGTGGCCAGAGAGGTTTGTAAAGAATGTGGAGGGCTTCCCATAGCAGTAGTTACGGTTGCAAAGGCAATGAAAGGTAAATCTAACCTTGAAGAATGGAAAAATGCAGCTCAAGAATTAAAAAAATCAGTGCCAACAAACATTGAAGGTGTTGATCAACTAGTGTACAAAAGTCTTAGGTTGAGCTATGATTACTGTTGGATCATCTCATGTGAGCTCCCATTGGAGAACCCACTTTCTCCACCCAATGGAAGTGGCTCTCCCACTCTACCAACCCCACTAGAGAGTGGAAGAGGATAGGTGGTGACCAATGAGGCTCTCCCTCATTGGTGTATAAATAGAGGTTGAGGGGAGAGTTGAAATTATCAGAAATTGAGTGTGAGAGCTGTGAGTTAAGTGAGTTTTATCTCCTCCTCTGTATTTGTATTTTTGCTCCATTTTAGTGATAATTCTCATTTCTGTCCGTGGATGTAGGCATTGGGCCGAACCACGTAAATATTGTGTTCTCTGTGTGTGTGAGATAATTCTCTGGGTGTGTTTGATCCTAACAATTACCTGCAAGATGAGGAAGCCAAGCATTGCTTCTTGCTTTGTTCTCTGTTTCCTGAGGATCATGACATCGTAGTAGAAGACTTGGTACGATATGGGATGGGGTTGAAATTATTCAAAAATGTTGATACAGTGCAAGAAGCCAGGAGCAGAGCAAAGTTAGTGATCAACAATCTCATAGCTTCCTGTTTATTATTAGCTGGTTATAAACAAGGTAGCATCAAAATGCATGATGTTGTACGTGATGTTGCCATATTTATTGGATCCAAAAAGTATTTTGTAAGAGCTGGTCGCAATTTGAAAGATTGGCCAAATATGGATAGTCTGGATCAATACATTGGCATATCGTTGATCAGAAATCAAATCAGCAACCTTCCTGAGGTCTTAGAATGTCCAAAGCTCCAAATATTACTATTACAAGACAATAAAACTGCATGGTCTTGTTCAAATGAATTCTTTTCAGGGATGAATGCACTTACTGTTTTAGATTTGAGCAAACAACCTTTCTACAATATTCGCAATCCAATTTGTAGTCCTGATGCTTTCAATAACCAAAAGTGTCTTCGAACATTAGTTCTTGACGGAATTACGTTTGGGGACCCTAAATTTCTTGGACAGTTAAAGACGCTTGAAGTCCTTAGCCTCAGGCGTGTCGTCTTTTTTAAGGCACCAAATGCTATAAGGGAGTTAACTAATCTAAGGTTGCTGGACATGACTGAAAGCCGTCATGAATTTCCGATTCCATCCACAATGGTATTGCCTTTATTCCATTTGGAGGAGTTGTACTTGTTTCACATCACATATTCGAGGAGTATCGGATACCCTGCAGTGGAAGTAGTTGCTGCACTAAGATCTTTGCCTCTCTTAAAAATGCTAACCATTTCCATACCTGACATTGCGTATATACCCAAGGACTTTGTTTTTCCTGAGCTGGAAAGTTTTATTATTGTTATTGGAAAATTGAGTTCTTGGGCTTTGCCTCCAAATTATTCCCCAAATTATTTGGGACTTGGAAATTTGGTTGGAACCATGGTTAATTGGAGTAAATGGCTAAAGATGGTGTTGAAAAGAGCTACACGTTTGAGGATTGACAATTGTTCTGAATTGGAATACTTGATCAACACAGAGGAATGGGGGATTTCATCACAGGCACAATCACGTGATCTGCAATTTCTCTTCAACCTGGAAGAATTGGAACTCTGGAGTTTGGGTAGTTTCAAAGGGATATGTGCAGCAAGTGCACTTACTACTTCCAGTTGGGTGTGCTTCCCAAAGCTCAGAAGTTTGACAGTTTTGATTTGTCCTTCACTATCAACTGTTCTTCTTCCATTCAATTTGCTTCAAAGGCTACAACATTTGGAGGAGCTTGGGGTAGGATTTTGCGAGAAATTGGAACAAGTATTTGATTTTGGTTTTGAAGGAGAAGGCATGAAGCTGCTTTCCAGTCGTCAACATGTGGAACTCAGCAACCTAAGAGATATGAAAGTCGTTGAATGTGGGAAACTGAAATATGTCTTCCAACCTTCCATAGCTCAAGCTCTTCATCAACTTGAAGAGCTTTCGGTAGTGGACTGTGAAGAAATGGAGGAAATTGTTGTTGCCAAGCAAAACGAAGGGCACGAAGAAGAAGAGAGAGTGAACTACAAGATGGAGTTCAAAAGTCTCAAAGCACTCTACCTTGCAGGTCTTCCAAACCTAAGTGGTTTCTGCACAGGAGGAGACGACTTTCCTTTTGAATGGCCATCCTTGGAACAACTTATGGTGAAAGAGTGCCCCAAAATGAAGACTTTCGCTGCCACTACTTCTGGCAGCACACCAAAACTGAAGGAAGTTGAATTGGATGGATCCGGGATACCGCTACAGGGGATGGACTTGAATCAGTTTGTGCAAACCCATATCATTTCAAACCCACCTAACTAAGGTACTTCTGTATTTTACCACATTTAACATATATATATATATATATATAAGAAGCTCTTCTCTCCTATGGCTTGTCATTTATTTTCCTGTTTTGTTCTTAGTTGATTTTGAAATTGCTATTTTGTGGTTTAATTGGTTGGTGAAACAATTTAAGTGGTGGCATTTTGAAAATTATGTAAGACATTTTGGTTGTTTTTGTTGGGAAGGTTGGTTTTGGGTTGCCTATTTTGCCCTTAGCATGTTTGGGAATTTCCTTTTCTGCCATTTTATTTTATATAATTTACTAATGGTATAACAATTTGAATGAAAGTTTTCTCGTAAATATACAAACATTCTGCTCAATTGTAAAAACATGAATCTTTTATTTTTTAACAAATTACAAATACATCCATAATATTTGTTTAAAATATGAATTAGTCCTATAATAATACAAATTACAACAATCGTTTGTTATAAATTTTAATTTACCCAATAATCAAAAGAAAAAAATAAATAACTACTCTCCTATACAATAATAAATTATCAAAATTATTCATTGAAAAATATTTCTCATATCATTAAAAACTGTTAATTGACTTAATGCTTTATTTATTAACAAAATGGTTAACTAAGAAGTGGGTTGGCTTTTTGGCTTTTTGACTTTTTTGACTATTTTAGCCTGGGCTAAAAAGCTTGGTTTGGGAAGGGCTTTTTGGCTTTTTTGACTTTTTTTGTGAGAGAAAAGTGTAATGGTTATGGGTTGGATGTGATGTTTTGTTTATTGTGGCTAAAATAGCCTATTTTGTCTTTTGTGGCCATTTTAGCCACAAATCTTCTTCCCAAACGGACCCTAAAAGATATTTTTCATATCATTAAAAATTATTAATTGACTTAAGGATTTATTTATTAATAAAATTGATCATTTGTTATGCGAGTATGATTTATTTATTAATAAAATGGGTCATTTGTATATATATATGTATTCTCTTCTACTTCTTTATTAGTTCAATTTTTTTTTTTAGATGGGAAATTATCTTATCTCGTTTATACTAAAATGTATATTTTATTTTGTTTATCTTTATGTCTTCACACTTTGTATTACTGAAAAAGAAAATAATATAATTATGTTAAAACGATAGGGCTTATCATATTTTTTCTAATTGTTATTATTTATAATACAATTTATATAATTCTATCATATATATAATGATTTATTCTATTTAATTTTATTAAATAATATTCTTATTTTTAAAAATTATTAAAATACAAAACTCAAATAGATTGTAATAATAGCATGGGCCTTTGTAACTAGTATATATATATATATATATCAGGTAATTAGTTACTTACATTACGAGGCAAATTTTTTTATTTATTTTTAAAAAGTAAATTAAATTGGGTCCTTCACTAATAAATTAGTGAAAATCAATGGACTATATATATTCATTATGTTTGTATCATATCCAACTTTCAAGATGAAAACATTATATTTTTGAATAAACTACAAATCAAATTATCAACTCCTCATAGTTGACAATTTAGTTTGTACATAATTATAGATCTCTAATAATTTTAAATTAAATTAGAGCAATATTACATACTCAAAATTTGTACACTTGAAAATGCTTAAAAATTTTAATATACGGTCGAGATTCATTCAAAATGCGGACTCCACTATTTTAGAGTTGAATCTTAAACACACATTATTTTTTTCGGTATATTTTTGTGTATGAATTTTGTGCATAGGGAGGCCCTTTATTACACTCAAATAACGTTTTTCATTTTTTTTTTTTTGGGTATAGATTACACTTTTTAATGTAGAATTTATTGTTTTCTTTTATTATTTAGTTAAAATTTAATATATTATCCTCTTTCGTGCATAGAGTTTTATTTTTATTTTTAAGTGTTAAGTTAAGTTGATGGATAAAGAAAATTTACTTTTTACAATGAATATTCATTTATGCTTTTATTATTGAAGGCCTTTGACTATCTAAAAAAAATCAAAGGCCTTTAAAAATGAGATAATCAATTATTTAATATTCTAGCAACCACTCATATGGTAGTACTCCCTATAATGTTTAGAATTTATTACCATTTGAATAGTTCTACTTTTATTTGGGAGACTTTTATCAAATTTTAGTATAAGAAACTGTAACGCCCTCAAAAAATACATAAAACCCAACACTTTAAACATGCAATAATATAAGAGAAATCAACACCTTTCTATTCATCAGAGTAGTTCTTACAACAGTATTACATGTTAACAACAAAAGCAAATGCCCTACGGGCTTACAGCTTTCCAAGTCAACATTTGGTTACAAAAAAAAAGAGTACTAACTCTATACAAATAAGCCCTTGGCTTGACATACATGTAATACAAACAAAAATAATCAAGAGTCTTCAACTCCCATAACCATCCAAGCTATGTCCTTGGAGGTAGTATGCTACCTGAAAATAATGTCCCACATAGGGTAAGCCAACGCCCAGTAGAGATATGCTAAACACAATATGAGCAGTAACTAAGACATTAGCAATTGATAGATGTTTGATTCACATAAACCAATTCATATACCACTTTCATTACATGACCAGAATATCCATATTTCATTTCGTTTTCCATTTCTTCTCAAATTCACAATTCACAGCAACGGCTCAGAACCTGGCCAACAATTTACATGAGGTGGTGACTCATATTAAACATTTCCCATTTCACAATAGATAAGAATACTAGCTATATCAACACTTCGATAGATAAGCATATGAGCTATATCAATATCTCAACAGATAAGCATACAAGCTGTATCAACACTTCCATAGATAAGCATACAAGCTGTATCAACGCATTAACTGATAAGCATATGAGCTGTATCAACGGAGTCCATCTCCTATCTCCTCCCAAACAACATCCGGTTTAGAGGTCCATCCCCTATCTTCCCCTAAACCATAGAGTACATCCCCTATCTCCTCTCACACACACAACGCATATACACATAGGTCATATACATAATCAATCAATACATAAAGTTAATGTATTCTGTCAACCGTCATACTCAATGACACATCCAATTGATTAGTTTTAGTTTGCCTAATCATTATGCATTGTCTACAACAATCAAAACTACCCTCCACCGGTAGCCCAAAGCAATTATTTCTAAACAGATAATAAAAGCACCAACAGATAAAATATCCGCATTTTCAAAAGTGAACGATTTATTAATCCGACTCCACTATTCCTTCTTATAATGAACCACTATCATTATATTCAACTCAATTTCACGAATCCATAACTTTCCCAAATTAATTATACCAATTAATTTATATACAAATTAGGGCTTTCCTCCCCGCCTCTCAATATTAACCCAATGGTTCGAATATCAACTATCAACAACAATAACATCATTTTGAAACCCAAAATACATATTTAAGAATCAAAATAACAAAACCCTCTTTTATATCTTTTGAAACCCTAAGTCCCAAAATCAACCATTTAAACAACAAGCTCAAAATCTAGGTCAAAACCCATAAGAGTAAATATGAATCCCTACCTCAAATTAGGAGCCCAAGGGAAGAAGATGAAGAAATTGAAGATGCTCCAAATCCCAAAATTTTCGGATCAAAAGATAGCCCTCGATGATCAACACAACTTTTACAAAGGCCCAAGGTGAGGAAATCACTCCTACTAGATCAATACCTAGAGAGAAGTTGAGGTTCTAGTGAGAGAAGGTCTCCAATGGTGTTTTTGAAAAGTAAGAGAGAGAAATGGAGTTGAAAAAGTGATCCAAAAAGTCGAATCTTGGAGTGATATACTCGTCGCCCCGCTCGAGCGTGGAAACCCCCGCTCGAGCGTCACTCATAGACTCCCGCTCGAGCGTCCAAACCGCCGCTCGAGTGCCGGATACACGCTCCCAGAACTTTTGCAGAACTAGGTCCCCGCTCGAGCGTCACACACAAATTTCCGCTCGAGTGTCAAAACGCCCGCTCGAGCGTCCAACATTGCAGAGGAAAATACTGGGAGATGGATTTTCCCGCTCGAGCGCAAAAACCCCCGCTCGAGCAGAGAAGCACAACAAAGGCCCGCTCGAGCATCAAAAGCTCCGCTCGAGCTTGAAGGCTAATTTCTGGGCAACTACTTTTGGTTTCTAAGCTCAACCAACCTGTTTCAAACCTGCCCAACACAACCCAAGACTCAAATACAAAGAGTAAAGAATGTAAACAAGATATACGCAACAACCAACTCCACGGAACCTAAGTTCAAATACAACAATTAAAGAAGTGAAACCGAGATCGCTATAGAAACTTTGGACAATGAATGTTTTTTAGGCCTTTGGATAAATATGGGAGAGACCTAGTGGATTGAGATAATGCCTTCCTTAAATAAAAAAAGAAAAAAGAAAATGGTAACACTCAATTTCTTTTTTTCGTTTGTTTTTATGCATTTTAATAAATTTTATATTAAGTTTTGATTAGGAATTTTTTTTTTTTTTTATTGGTTTCAAGTTGCCGAATTCCAATATTGAAACCTTAGGCCATTAAGTCAAATGTGTGTAGTGTATTTGATAAAGTTAAAAACTGAAAATTGAAAATTAAATATTGAAAACTGAATATTGAATTTTTTAAGCTGAAAATTTGTTTGATAAAAATTTAAGTACTGACTAAATATAAGTTGTTTGATATGTATAAATTCAAATTTAAAATCTATTATTTTCAAATTGTATATTTTAATTTTTATATTATGATGGTGGCAGGGGTAGTGGCGGCGGTGGTGGTAGTAGTAGTGGTAGTGATTGTAGTGGTAATAAAATGATGATAATACTTATGGCAACAATAACAATAGTAATAAAAGTGGTGGTAGTGATGGTGGTGTAGTGGTGGTGATGGTTGTGGTAGTAATGATAGTAGTAGTAATAGCTGTAGTTGTGATTACAGTGGTGGTGGTGGTAGCGATAACGATGGTGATGGCGGTGAGTTCATAACACTGTATATTGATATTTATATTTAGTTTTATAAATTCGGTCAGAATTAAATAAATATGACTTAAAATTTTCTTTAAGTTTCAGCTTACATTTTAATTAACGCTTAAATTTTTAAGTGATATCAATTGTAGTTATCAAACTGGCTTAATTGATTATCACTTAATAAATTCAGTTTTAAGTGCTAAATTTGGTTATCAAACACCTCCTACATATTTATTTTTCCTAAGACCAAAAAAAAAAAATGTATATACAATCAATCAAAAAGTGATAGAGGCCATGACTTGGAGTGATGATAAAAAGTGTTATTCGCCATAAAGTGAAAGTGGAGAAGAATGCCTACTTGCTATTTCTCTCAGAAAAATCTACGATCCTTGTGCATTGTGTAAGATCTTTATTCAATCGATAAATAATTTAAAAATGTTGTTTGTTTTCACTATAAATTTTACTACATTAGGAATAAATAAAATTAATTGGCCTTTCAATCTACATATTTTCTTTGAGGGCCATTCAACATGCACTTGATAGATTTGCCAGCCTATGAAATCATGCATAGGTTGTTTAAATATTTTATTTTCCATCTCACATTTTTTTTTTTTTTTTTGGTTGTCATTATGAATGTTTCCTATTATAATCTTTCCTAATTTTTTTGTTTCAGGAAAGACATAGGCCCTGTTTGGTAGGGCTTCTTTCCAGCTTATTTCAGCTTTTAGCTTAATTTAAGCTATTTTGATGTGTTTGGTTCAGCTTAATAATATAGCTTATAGCTTTTTGTAAGTCAAAAATCAACTTATTCTTAGAGTGGGGAGAAGAAGCTTAATTTATAAGTCAAAAATTAACTTATGTTCACAGTTATAAGCTATAAACTGTTAGGCTATAAGTTATAATCATTTTCTCACAGCTCTACCAAACGGGGCCATACTGATGCTCTTGAATGAAATCCATGGTGAGTATCTTAATTAGATTGTGAACCAGATTATGAATTTAGGAGGAATAACTCTCGTGAGTACGTGGACAATTCATGATTTACATCAAGCTAACCATACAATTCTTATCTCATTTTTTAGGAAACAACAAAAAAATATTTCCAAAATTCTAAAAGTTGTTTTTTGTGCAAAAATGAAAACAATATGAAGACAATGGTGGTTTTGAAATTTTCATTTTTTTTTGGTTTCCGAAAATAAAAAACCATAAAGAAAAAAAGCAAACATTATATGTAGCAAAATATTGATATTACTGCTAAATTATTATTGAAATTTCTTTTTCTTTTTGCAGTTATCAACCATAAAGAATGTTGAGCTACTCCCTATGGTTATATGATGTCTACCTTAGGATTTTATTGTGTAAGGGCATACGCTTCCTGTGATTTGTGTTTCTAAATAATTGTCTTGCTTTGCAACATCAAAACTACTACTCTAAATAAAGGTATATTTGCCTAATGTGTGCTGAAGATTTGAAGAGTGAATAAAGGGAAAAAAGAGTACCCAACGTGTGCAATTTTACTTTCTCTGCATTGTAATGGAGCTTGTATCCAAAATTATTTATCTGAATTGACAATATTATATGTTTGTTTTCATACTTGTTTGTGTCTATGATAAAAAAATATATTGCAATTTGTTCTTTCCTGAAATATGATTGACTAGTAATAATTTAGAGTACAAAAATGAAATTGTTGCTTGAATTTGTTAAGATGGGCTTGTAATTCATTCGAAGGGAGTTTATGTTATGGAATCCAAAGAGTCCATACTTAGATTTATGTTAGGGAATCCAAAGTGTCCATACTTAGAATCAATGCATGTTGATTCGAACATGCATCCACTCAAAGGCTTAAATGTATATGGGGTGAATCCATCAACATATATTAAAGACTTTTTTTTTGCTTTTTTTCCGATATGGGACCATTTTATTTCAAAAAGTTCCAACAATCTCTCCTTCAAATGTAAACTTATACAACGGGCAAAGTTTTCACTTGAGTCTAATTTACTACACTAACGTTGTGTCTTATGCCTTGTAATGAGGTTTGTAAGAAGTTACTCCTTCAGAAATATAGTTGAACTATCTTATACAACATTTCAAAAACATAAGATGATTATAAAAACATGTGGGAAAAAATGTTTCTTTAGCAATGAATCCTTAGCAATTGATTCTTATATTTATCTCAAGTGAACATGAGGACCAATGATATTGAGGAAATAGAAAATGACACACATTAAGAAGACATAGGATCTCTATTTAGAAATAGAAATCTATTGCATGCCCCTTTTGGAAAAAAAGTGCTTTAGTCACTAGGGTAATGTCCAAGCAACTCCTATATAGTTTATGGTTTATATGTCCAAGTCCACAAATATTGACAAACAACATTTATTCATACATATCAACATCATCAATTAAGGAAAATATTGCAAGCCTTATTTTGAAGGAAGTTCTTAGTTACTATAGAAATATCCAAGCAAATTGAATCGTAATATGTGGTCAATTTTAGTTCTCAATCAATAAAAGTCAAAAGATTAGTTCCAAAACCAAACCATTAAACTCTAGTGAGCATGCTTGTAACTACAAAGGCAACAACTAAGTCTACCTACCATGGAATTTGTAAGCCATCTGAGCTTACTAATTTTATTACTTCTCTTCCTTCTCCTAACCAAGAAATCTTCCAAAAGGCTCCCACAAACAAGATATATGTGGAACACAAAAAATTGAGAATTTGTTTTTTAAAAAAAGACATGTACTAAATCCATAAACAAGCTAGACGTGAAACACATCAAATTTTGATAGCATGAAAAATGACAATTATTGTCCATCTTCAAATTCCTAGCTCCAACATTGAGTACAACCTAGCATGTCTTGCCTTGCCACCCACCAAAATATATATGGTTTTTGTAACAAGCAACTAACATTAAGGATTAGCCCTATAGGTGGGTTACCAAATGTAATGTCTATCCCCTACCAATTTATATATATGTATATATATAGTAGAAAGCATCCACCTTACTCCATGTTTTGTTTACCAAGGACCATCCAAAAGCACATGATAATTGCCTTCCACTTTCTTTCATTTTTCTTTTTCTTTCTTTTTTTTATGAGCAAAAAAATTACTCTAATGATATAAATCAAGAAATGAAATACATCAATAAAGCTGAGGGAAGTGCAGAAAGAATCAAAGCTAAACCAAAACGAGAGAGAGAGAGAGAGAACAAAAGCAAAACTTATTATTTCTACACAACTCAAAAGAGCAACAAAAAAAACTCTCAAAACTCCCAAATCACACTGAAAGAAAATTGACTTTTACCGGCATTTCAAAAATGCTGCTAGGCTTGAAAAACGCCGCAATAGGTTTTTACAACGTTTAATATTTTCGTCGTAGATACGATTGCCACAATAGCTTTATAGCATTTCCAAAACGTCGCAGTCTTTGACACCTACTTACTTTTCCGTCACAATTAACGTATGATGTATTGATGACATCAGTTTGCCAAAAAACACTACCTTTCTTGATGACATTTAGTGGTGTTTTTTAAAAAAATGCCCCCCCCCCCCTTTTATTTTTAAGAACACATGGCCTAATTAATTGAGAATTAAGTAAGAACAGAGATTGAGAATTAATTGAGAATTTATATAAAAGAACACAGATTGGCTCAAATTTGAATTATAATGCCAAACTGAAGACCATAAAATTCCGCTATCTCCTTGGAGATTTAACCCTAAAACTTTACAAATCTCAATTGTGTATTGTCCAACAGTTTGAATTTTCTTCAAATCACCCCCCATTTTGTTGTTCAACTGTGCAAACCAATCTGCAATCCAAATCTTTACTTCGCAACCAACAGAAGTCAGTTTGTTGATACTAATTATCTTCATAACACCCTGTTCCAAAATAAAATGAAAATGAGCACACCCGCTCAACAAAACTTGTTACCATAGTTTGGAAAAACAATAATTGAGGGAAAATTTTCAACTTCCACAACAATAAACGAGCACACCCGATCAACAAAACCTGTTATCAGTCACTAATAGCTAATTATCCCAATTGCTTTATACCGAGATGAAATTATACACTTGTTAGCAATTTCTATATATCACTTTATTAAAACCAGCACAATTAACTACACACAAAAAAACACTTGCACAGACTAAACTACTAATAAATCTGCAATGACTACCCTTATGTTGCTAACAACTTTCCCCATCAATAATAATAATTAAATGCTGGCACAATTTAGAAGCAGTAAAGAAATTGATAAATTGTGATGCTGATTCCTTGTCCCCCATTGTCTATATGTGTAAAGTTTCCATAAACAAAAATAATCCCACACAAACAAAGTAAAAAAGAAAAAGTCTTCTCACTCACAAGACTATCACTTCTCTGTTAATGGTAAATAACCATCTGAACAATTCAACTTGTTACAACTTTTGATTGAATTCAATGAAAAAGTAACTACTTGACAGCAATTAGGTTTTAACAAGAAAACATACACGTCCCATGATATTTAAATTGGAATTCAAGACCCATAAAATGCCCAAAACCAACAATTACACTTAAACCCTCTTGAGGGTTTACAGTTAAAGCCCTTATAATCATAAAGATCAAAAAACTTTCAAAATCAAAGCCAAATCCATAGCAGAATCCCAACCCAATTTGCAGAATTTAATCATTAGAACAATAATTATCCAAAACCCCCCCCCCCCCCCCAAAAAAAAATAAATAAATAAATAAAAAAAATAAAATAAAATAAACCATCACAAATTGAAGCAAGCAGTCTAACAAAAATTAAATATTAGCAGATGTATATGACTAATGTTATTAATGCTAAAAAGGGATTCATTTGAGGTTTACCCAGAATTAGAAAACTTGTTGAGAAGTTGAACCTGGGCGTCTCAGGGATTTATGGGTTTTTTTGGAGATTTGGGAGACACGTGAAAGAAAAAGAAAGAAAGCAACCCTTTTTTGTGGTGGACAATGAAAAAAAAAGAAAGAGAAAATTTAGAGAAAGATCGAGAAAGAGGAGATCGACAACTGTTATGACATTTTGTTGTTCTTCCCAATTGGAAATGGACAACCCTTTTTTGGTTGACAATGACAAATCTTTCATATGCAATAAGAAATCCCAAACATCAGTTAATCAAGCATTCACATTTATTAGTCCTTTTAACCTATAAGGCTTTGTCTCAACAAGCAATAATCTCTCTACTTATAAAATAAGAAATCCCAAACATTAAAGGTATCCCTTAAACAAAGATTAATGCCCAAGCAACTTGAGGCCACTATAGATGAATTTAAAAAAGAAAAAGAAATCAGTCACACTGCAGTCACTATTACCTCCCCAAGGCCAAGTCCAACCACATGTTTGGTTATTTACCTAACAGTCACACTGCTGCAGAGAGAATAAACAGCAAAGAAATCAGCCTCTTGTTCTTTTTTGCTACGATATTAATAACCAAGAGAGTAACTTGATAAGATTCTTACAACATTTTTTTCTTCTCCAAATCGCCAAATTACAGAGGATCTCAAGCTGAAAGAAAAATAGGCATTGGAACAAAGTATGAGTGAGTATGCGATACAATAAAAACCAACCATGTTCATCCTGTTCAGTAAAGCATTAATAGAAATGATATTCCCATTCTCTTTTAAACTTTTCACTCTATTTTTTGTCTTTTGGCCTCTCACAAGTGGAGTGTGAATATCATTGCTCTACCCTTATATCCAATAAAAAAAATCAAATATTGTATATCTAACAATCATGAATACTGTCAAGAATATAGCTGTCCAGAATAAATACACCTCAAACATATGACCCTTTTTTTATTTGATTGGCAATCTTCATACTTCCCATTTTCAAAAATTTCAACGATTATACTTTCTGAAATTTGATATTTTGTTAACCATCTCATCAAAATCAAATTTTGATATGAACCACAAATCCAAAATAGCATTTGAATTCTGAACTGAAACACGATATAAACTCCCAAGCATGAATTGTATCAAAATATACTAGTGACAAGCATAAAGCATATTATATGGACTGCAGAAATAACAAGATTAAACAGAAATAACAAGATTAAATAGAATAAACTTTAGGCCACCAAAGGGTGTCCTTTCCCCTTTTTTTGATGGACCATGATCTAGGTAACTCAACAAAAAATAAAAAATAAACCAAGAGTTGAATGACCAATGTTAGAAACCACTAACTGCAGAAATAACAAGATTAAATAGAATAAACTTTACGCCACCAAAGGGTGTCCTTTCCCCTTTTTTTGATGGACCATGATCTAGGTAACTCAACAAAAAATAAAAAATAAACCAAGAGTTGAATGACCAATGTTAGAAACCACTAAACACTTTAAGATGCAGAATGAACTTTATAAGATAATCTCTTGTAGCTTCACAAAATAAAAAGCCAGATCATCTACATATAATTGGTTGCTATTGTATAAATCACATTTTTTCTTTCCAAGCAATTGCAAGCAATGAAAAATAGTAGTTTATCAATTTAAATGGGACTACACTGAAACAATTATTAGCAGAGTCAGAAAGCAAGCAAATGCCAGAATGAGATTCCTAAAAAAGGCAAAATAATAGACTAGAGAGAGACAGAGCAGATCTGATATTACCATATTAGCAAATCAGAGAGAGAGAGAGAAAGCAGATCTGATCGAAGAGAGGGCAGATCTACATCTCTTCATCGTTGAGCTTCTATTCACTGTTTCCAACGATCCACATAAAAAAAATCAAACAAATATCTTCAATGAATTTACTTCATAAAAATTGCAGCAACATTTACTGCATAAAGAAACATGGAATCAATATAACAATTAGTGACAAATTCACAACCAAATCAAAAATTTGAAAAACAAAATCAAAAACATTTTACATACACTATCAAAAACACCAATACTAAAAAAAGCCTTAGTCTGGATATGCCTTGAACATAGAGAGCAAGTTTCAGGAGAGAGAGAGAATGATGCTCAGTACCTTTATGCCAAAGTGTAGTGCCGAAATGCAAGCAGAACAAATCTAAATCTGAAAGCGAGAAGCAGAAATTTATAAGCAAAAAGAGAGTGAGACTCAAAAATCAATCAAAAGATTAATCAATATAGTTCTGAACGAAAACAATCGATCGATCAATTGATTGAAAGACAGTTTTGACAGGGGTTGATCTCAGATCTGTGTTCTCGGATGTATACAATCTAAAAAAAAAAAGAGATAAATAAACGAATTAAATACTCACAAAATCGAAAGAGAGAATCACAAATCTGGACAATCAACCTTCAAATCTGCACGAATCAACCTTCAAATCATCGACAACCATCATGGATCTGAGAGAGAGAGAGAAACGTAGATCATTCAACCGAGAGTGGCCGAGGGCTTTCAACCTCAAGAGCCTTCACAATATCTTCTGTTCAAACTCAATATCGAGGAAACTGAGAGTTTCTGAACATGGTGGTTGTACAATTTGATGAATCTGAAGTGGAGAGAGAGAGAGAGAGAGAGAGAGAGAGAGAGTTCTGAAAAGGGAATCTGAGTTTCAGAGTCTGGAGTGAGATGGTTTTGAAAGGTCTCAAACGGCGAGAAGGTTTTAATATGAACCGGCGTGATCACTACATAGCTAAATGACGTTGTCTGACCTAGATGTAAGACAACGTTTACAAAACGTTGTGCTCGACTAATCAACAAAGACGTTTCAAAAACGCTATATTATAAACGCCGTGCAATGTACTTTTTCTTGTAGTGTCAAGAACAACCCTCAGCCTTAAAAAGCGACAACACAGCCTTATAAATTATAACTCAAGGCTTCCCATAGCAATAAAAATATTCTTCATGAAAGAAAGACCTCCCTAGACAGCAAAACAGCTACCCTACACCACCAGCAACATCAAAGAACATATCAGTAGCAACAAGAAGAACAATAAAAAAGAGCCAAGCCCCCTTCGCACCTCAACCATCTTATCACTTCAATGTTTGTCAAGGCAGCTTTGAAAGAAGCTTCAGTTTGAGTTTCGTGATCCTGTCAAGTAGCTGATAATACCAGACACTGGGTAGTTAACAATAACATAACAAGCTTTAGCCTAAAGAGCGAAACACAAGTTTACTAGGTGAATCACATCATGAACATGCTGTTCTGAGTGGTTAAAGACAGTAGCATTTTGAGCTAACCAGATAACCATGTAGAAGAGGGTCACCCAAAATCGTTTCTCAAGGTTCCGAAAAGAAGGATCAAACCACCGCATAAAAATATCAAACAGAGAGGCAGGGAAAACCGAACAAACACCACCCGCACTGGTTTAAACAACATGACCAGCGTTCCCAAGTGAACTGACAATGAATGAAGAGATGGTATACAGATTTGACAAATCTCAAACACACTGGACAAAGCACTTAAAACTCATTTAGGATTACCCCTATTAGCTAAAAATTTCTTGAGAGGCTACTTTACCTAGAATAGCTTGCCAACAAAATATTTTGACTTTGAATGGGTGAAGATTATTCTAGAAAAGAGATGCGACTTGAGAGGAGAAACCTCAAAACCACAAGATAAATTTTCACAGACAATATAAAAAGATCTAATTGCATAGGTTCCATTATTTTTATCCCACTTTCATTACAGCTTATCCTCCATATCAAGAGTGAAGCAAAGCGAATTAAGTATTCATTAAATTATCCAAAAGGACATTCTCCCAAACAAATAAACTCCTCCTGAATTGCAAACACCACTTGTTCAAGCTTCCATCAAACAAAAGAACATCATTATTTCTGAGACAAAATCAAGAATAGTCTAGGAAACTCATCTTTCAAAGATTTATCATTGAACCATAAACCATGCCAAAACAAAACTTGATGTAGACCCCTAAACCAATCACAACAGAGAATCCCTCTTGAACAATATTACTATTTGCAATGCAAAGACATACATGGGATCTACCAACATTAAGGTCTTATTTGATAACCCTGGTAGTTGTTGGGATTGGATTGGTAATTTGATAAGTTTCGCATAGTTCGTGTTTAGTTGCACACCCAATAAAAAAACAAAAAGGAAAAAAAAGGCATGGATAAACAATCCCATTAAACAATAAATACCCAAAAATGCATGAATTAGGAATACCATGGGATGAATTTGTACCATGAGAATGTGTAGCAAAAGGCAATTTTGCCTCTGTCATATATAAACAATAAAATCAACTTTTATGTAATGAGGTCTTAGATGAAATTTCATATATTTAATCCAGACAGGGTTGTATTTTTGGTTGAAATGGGATGGTGTTCAAATTCTATAAAGGACGGGCTGTTCAACTTCGAGAACTTAGCTAAGGTCAAGGCCAATGGTATTCTATTGTACAACTACTTAATCATAATAGTACAACTATTTTTGTTTAATAGTACAACAGCTATTGTCTTAGTACTGAAGTAGCAAGGAAATCTTCAGCTCCCCTTGTTAGCATAAATGCCGCCTATTTTTGTTTGCATTCATTACAAAGTAAACTAAGCCTAACTAACCACGACATACTCAATGCAACCAACAAGCTGCATACCTGGTCTTGAGAAGTAGGTTCATTCCTGTCAGTAGCAAGAGCCCTCAAGTCTGTTTTAGGTCTAGACTGATTTTCATGCTAGTTCTTGCTCCAGCATGAAAGTTCCATTTTAGAAAAGGATGACATACCATGATACTTTTTGTTTTAACTTGTATGTGGTGCATCTGTTCAATATAAATTAAGACCCTTTTCTCTGATTGGTTACTCCTCTAGGGCTTAGCTCAACCATCATTCACCTTTTACTCTCTGCCTCTCTCCACTTGTCTTTCTTCATCATCTCGGCTTTTCAACAGTTTTTCTCTCTCCCCCTCATCATTTGTCTTTCACCCTACTACTCAGACCACAACTAAGAAAGGTTTTTTAAAACTTCAAAACCCAGATGAAGTTTCTACTTTGGCAAAACGGAATAGAATGAAAACCCACCTATAATCACTCAGCATTAGTGAATGGAGAATTGAATTATAAAACGGCCATGTAAAAATCTTAATGCTCACATTTTTTTTTCTTGACAAAATGTCCCAAGGACTTCACATTTTCAAGGGAAAAAAGCCTATTTCTCATCCTATAACCTAAACAAGACTTACTAAATTTTGAAGACTCAAAAAACAAAAACCAGAAAGAAGCTTCAATTGCTTAAGGACGTATTAAGCACCCCAAAAAAAATTTGAAAAACTTATTTTTTTAGTCAAAAATTTTCAAGAGCAAGACGAACAACATCATTTTATCATCAATTCCTATATTATCAAAATCATCGGTGTAAAAAAGGGTGAGAGAGAGAAATGACAGGGAGAGAGAAAGCAGTGAGGTGAAAAAGCGATGATGTGAAATGAGGAGATGATGCAAGGGAAAAAGGTTCAGGTGACAATAATTGTCGTCTCATCGCACAATAAGAAGATAATGTGTCATTATTGTCATTTGCCACCCATGCTTTTCCATTTCTTCTTCTTCTTCTTCTTCCTCCTCCTTTAATGTGATTAATCGCATTTTTGAACACTAGAATTATGGCTCTTGTTTTAATGAACATAACAAATTTTAGAGTACAAATAGTTTTATAATTAAGTTTGGACCTTTGTTGTTGCTCATTGGAAATAGAGCCCCTTTTGGAAGGAAGTGTTGTAGTCACTATGGAAACGCCCAAGCAACTCCTTTGTAGTTTATATGTCCAGCGAATATTGACAACATCTATTCATATCAACATCATTAACTACGGAAAACATTGCAGGTCCTTTTCAGAAGGCAGTGCTTTAATTACTATGGAAATGTCCAAGCAACTCCATTATATAGCTTATATGCCCAACAAATATTGACAACATCTATTCATGTCAACATCATCAACTAAAGAAAACAAAAAGAAAATGACAAGCAAGATTGTAACTACAAAGACAACAAGTATCTACAAAAAGAAAATGACAAAGCAAGATTGTAACTACAAAGACAACAAGTATCTACAAAAAGAAAATGACAAAGCAAGATTGTAACTACAAAGACAACAAGTATCTACAAAAAGAAAATGACAAAGCAAGATTGTAACTACAAAGACAACAAGTATCTACAAAAAGAAAATGACAAAGCAAGATTGTAACTACAAAGACAACAAGGGCCAATCTCTCTCTCTCTCTCTCTCTCTCTCTCTCTACAAAAAGAAAGTGACAAAGCAAACAAGGGCCAATCTCTCTCATTTGTTTAGGTAAAAGAAGGGTCGTCCTTATCACCTCAAAATCGTCCATGTGAGGATTATTCCTATCTTCCTCTTCCTAACCAAGAAAACTTCCAACAAGCTCCCACCAGGTTCCATGGGATTACCCATCATAGGCCATAGCCTCAGCCTTCTACATGCCATGCGAGCGAACAAGGGTGAGGCATGGTTCCATGAAAGAATAAGAAAGTATGGTCCCATTTCCAAACTCAGCCTCTTTGGAACTCCTACGGTTTTTCTCCATGGACAGGCTGCAAACATATTTATATACACGTGTGACAGCAAGACATTTTCCAACCAGCAACCAGCATCGATGAGGAGAGTCTGTGGTGAGAAAAATATACTGGAGTTGAGTGGCAAAGATCACAAGCGAATAAGGGGATCACTTGTATCCTTTTTGAAGCCTGAAGCATTAAAACAGTATGTTGGGAGATGGACGAAGTTAGAAAGCACATGGAGATGCGTTGGCATGGCAAAAATGAGGTCAACGTATGTTGCAACTACTGATGTAAATTTCAAAACTCTAGATTCAAATCCATAGTTTTGTCTAGTAACTAGTCAATAAAATTATAATGAAATGAAGATGGTCCTTTCTTTACAAAAGCAAATCATGAAGTCATGAGTGGAACAAGAGACGCTCATGAGGTTTCTGTTTGGCTAGTAGCTATTTGAGAATCTACAAAACCAACCACATATACACATGGAGAAATAACAATTTCCATTGGACCTTAGACATGTTAACCTATTAATTTTTCCTCCTTGCATTAATAGTATGAAACAATTTGTTGATAATATAGGTGATGCCTTTGATGAAGACCCTCACATTCAATATTATTTGTTCACTCATATTTGGAATAGAACGGGGAGCAAGAAGAGATGCACTAAGAGGTTTATTTCAAAACATGATTGAAGTAATGCTGTCAGTACCAAACCATACTCATGGACTTTATAAGTGAGAAGAGGGTAGCCTTGGAAAAAAAATGGTGCTTCCCTCATCAAGATCTCATCACTTGCTTGCTCAGTATCCGCAATGAAGACAATTCAGCTCTACTGTCTGATGAGGAAATTGAGGACAACGCGGTCATTATAATGATTGGAGGATATGACACGTCCTCCATCCTCCTTACCTTCTTGATCAGGCTTTTAGCCAATGAACCATCCATTTATGCAGCTATTGTTCAAGGTATGCCCCCAACTAGCTCGCTCATCATGATTCATGATAAAGATTTAAGAACTGAAAAGATAAAAGGATACTAGAAAATAGAACATACTGAAAAATTATCTGTTTTGAGATTGCAGAACAAGAGGAGATTGCTAAAAGCAAGGCCCTGGGGGAGCTTCTCACATGGGATGATCTTACCAAGATGTGCACATGGAGAGTAGCAATGGAGACTCTTAAGGATAACCCCTCCTGGGTTCTGTTCCTTCAGGGGGGTCCTCAAAGATACAGAATTTGGAGGATATCTAATACCAAAAGGGTGGCAAGTATGTGTAAAAGTTGCTAATATTTCCATAATTGTAGATTAATTACCAGAACAAAGGTGTGTGATGTAAATAAAATAAGAGCTAGAAGTAACACAAATTTCTGATAAACAGGTGGTATGGGCAGCAAGCATGACTCACATGGATGAGAGGATTTTCCCAAATCCATCAAAGATCAATCCAACAAAATTTGAGCAGCAAGCACCAGCCCCTCCTTACTGCTTTGTGGCATTCAGAGGAGGACCGAGAATGTGTCCTGGGTATGAGTTTGCCAGAATTGAAACACTAGCTATGATTCATTACTTGGTGACCCAGGTCACATGTAAGCTTTCCTGCATTGACGATTCTTTCTGCAGAGATCCAATGCCAGCTTTCAATTGGGGCTACCAATTCATATTAAACCAAAGAAATCTAATGGTGTGATTTAAGTTCACGTAGCTTTCATTGACTTTGATGAAAAACAATATTTCCCCTATTGAATGAACCTAATGTATCGGTTTAGTGGAAACAATTCAGCTATAAAAGTAAAAAAATAAATTAAAAAATCACTTTCTACATTTTATTAACAAGATTTTGCTGCAGCAATTGTGTGCTGCAAGGACCCTTCTTCACAAGGTCAAGGGAATCACTCCTTGACAATTTGATTGATTTTCGTGTCCAAGCACTCAAAAGGAATCAATGGGAGCATTTATGTCACTATTACCATTTTGGTTCCTTACGAAGAAAATAGTGTATAATAAAAATGCCTGTTGTTTTGATGACCCTGGGTATAGCACCATTTCCAAAAAGTTCAAGTTAAGTCTAAATGCTATGTTGCCTCTAGTTCATTTTATCCCAGAGGAACTTTTATTGAACTTATGATATTCCACTTTATGAGTGGGGTTATGTGACACATCTATAGGTAATCTGGCTCACCTTAACTTCTCAATGGGTAAAAATTTTTCTCTACAATGTTCAATTTGTCTAATCTGATTCATAATGAAATTTGGTCAAAACTTCATTTTTGCTTTCTGCCAAATATAAACTTCAAAAGAAGAAATAAAATTTGTTAAATAACAATTCAACTACCCACTCAATCAAACCAGAATCCAGAATTATCCTACCAAGAAGTTAGTTGGCATTTAATCTTTGTCAAGACTAGCATAATGCCAGATCCCTTTTTTCAATATTATGTGATATTGTAGAACTACCATCTGAAGCTCATTCAAATCCCTGCTTCCACAAGAATTTTTCCGGCACTAACATAATCAAATTTTATATCAATAAATTATCTAATATCCAAACACACATTAATGTGTACTAATTGGGCATTTTTTTTTTTTAATTAACTAATATCCAAATGCATCTCATTCTAAGACAGGAACATATTAGACTCTGCTAACATTCCAAGCTGATTACAATGGTGAAAACACCTCTAGCCTTAAAACTTCAAATCCTGCTGATCACCATATGTTTTATGTTGATGCAAGATTAGGACGTGCAACCTAATATATCATATAAAGTCCTGTATTTGATAAAATATAGACACTTCCACTATTTTTAGTCAGGAATCCTTACAGCATAGAAAAGAAAATTATTTCAACAGATAGAACAAAACAAATTCAAACTGAAACAAATAACAATCATATTACCAAATCAATAATATTAAATGTAAAAAGCACCTTCAAAATATAGAGGCTATTACCACGTTTTGGTACTCTAAAAGCTTTTTTTCTTTGATTCATGGTATCCACCATGAGTGATGCAATTTGTTCACTGTTCTGCTTCTCCACCTTCTCCTGCTCTTCTACTTGCCGCCCTTTGTTTTAATTGGGATCCACTTTCTAGGCTAAAGCCTCAACTTCCTGAGAGCACTAAACAACCCAAGGAACAGTGGCTACAAATGAGAATACAGAACATGGGTCAATTTCAAAGGTCAACCTATTTGGCGCCCTATGGTTCTAATCAAGCTAGCTGCAAATTGATTTGTACTCATTAATGATAGGATTGTACTTTCCAATGAGCAGCCAAAACCATTTTTTAGTAGGCTTTTACTATCAAAAAAGAAAGTACCCAAAAAAGAAGAATATACAACGGAACTCAAAACACTGTCAAGAGGCCACCTTGCTACAGAGGCGCACACAAAGGACCTAACCTAGAAAGGAAAGCCCCTCACAACCCAAGAGAAATAGGCACAAAGGACACTCAAACCCAGACCACCAAGAAACAAGCCTCTCACAACCCAAAAGAATGTTCACAAAACACACTTCTCACAACCTGAGAAGCTAGACACAAAAACAAAACATAAAAAGAACGAAAACCTGTTAGAATTTACCATCACCTACCACACACTTACCATCACCTACCACACACTCACCTACTACACTCACCTACTCCTCACCTACCACCACCTAACCTACATCTATATAATCAATCAATTGTAACACCAAGAAACAAGCCTCTCACAACCCAAAAGAATGTGCACAAAACACACTTCTCATAACCTGAGAAGCTAGACACAAAAACAAAACATAAAAAGAACGAAAACCACTATCCCACATTTTCTTGCAATTTCACAATAAAGTTCTTAGGATTGATAGACAATTTAGCAAAGGATTTTGCCCATGCAAGCTTTAGATTAAGAATCTTCTTGTCGAGCTTCCTCTTTGTCTCATCTCTAGAACAAAGAATGCAATCCATATTTCTTTTAGTTCATCCTTGATTTCGTTTTCTCTAGGAGTAGAAGACACATCTTTAGAAGCCACACTTTGAGAAAGTACAAGCCCATCCAAAGTCTCCTCCCTTGAAGGGGTGCTCATCATTTCCCTTTCATCCACATCCCCCAGATTGTGCAAACCTTTGGAATACACCTTCTCCTATTCCTTACACTCTACCTTGTTTGTTTTCTCCACCTTTTTTGAATTACATGATGCTAACACATCAAAATTATTAGATGACGATGGAAGGTAATTGAATTCTACCAGAATTTATTGATGAAATATTATAGGCAAGTTGACAGTTCCAGACACCAGAAGCATTTAAGACACAATAAGATTAAAGGGTTAATTAGGTAACACCTGGAGATACATGGTCAAAATATGGTTTGCAAACATTCTTAACTCAATCATTGCAATAAAATTTCACTTTCTAAGAAAGAAAGGAAGAACATCAACAAGAAACTAGTATTGTACATGTGCCTCTCTATGTCCTTAAGAAAGGTTGTAGAAAATCTCCCACTCAGTCCAACAAAAAGTTTCTTACATTAACAGAATACACAATGTACCTGGAAAAGATTTCTTTGAAGCATATCATATCATTAGCAGTAAGTTGAAACTAAGGTCACTGTTAGAATTTACCATAATATATCATCACCTACCACCTCCACTCAACTCACCTACCACACACACTCACCTACTCCCCAATCCTCTCCTATATAATTAGTACCTCACCATCTGTAATTTACATAACAATCACAATCAATAACAATCAATAATACATAAATTCTTACATGGTATCAGAGCTATAGGTTAAAGATCTTGGTGTTCTTCGCCTTCCGGCGGGCGGCAACCTTACCTTGACCGTCCGCCGGATCTCAACCAATTCAAACCTCCATTCATTATATCCTCTCTCGGTTTAGGGTTACCACCTCTGCGTTTCAACCTCTCAGACATTGAATCCCTTTCTCTCTCTCTGAAATGGCAGGAAGCGGTGTTGTAACAGTCTACGGCAATGCAGCAATCACCGAAACCACGAAGAAATCCCCTTTCTCAGTGAAGGTAGGCCTCGCCCAGATGCTCCGCGGCAGAGTCATCATGGACGTCGTCAACGCTGACCAAGCTCGCATCGCGGAGGAGGCTGGCGCCTGCGCCGTCATGGCCCTGGAACGCGTCCCGGCCGACATCCGTTCCCAAGGCGGCGTCGCCCGCATGAGCGACCCCCAACTCATCAAGGAGATCAAGCAAGCCATCACTCAATACATACACACCAGCTTTCACACACACACCGACAGCAGCTGTTCAAAGCTGCCTCTGATCTCTCTCCCTCTCTTCTCAGCAAAACCTCTCTTCTCTTTTCTTTTTCTTTTAATATTTTACTCCACTATCTTCTGTCTTTCACATCATGACACCCACTTTCTTTTCTTTTCTTTTCTTTCTTCACCAACCCCTTTTTTTATCTAGCACATTCAACACACATGCACGACATCCAGTTTTGGAAGAATCAATAACTAAATAAATCAATAAAAAAAAAAAAAAAAAAAAAAAAAAAAAAAAAACCCAAAAAAAAACCCCAAAAAAAAAACCCCTTGCAATTGAATGGGATGTGGAAAAATAATTGCATTTTTTTGTGCAACTGAAATGAGGTTATTTTTTTCATTGTTGCACTGAAATGCAATTTCCCAAAAGAAACAAAAAAAAAAAAA